AAATTTTCTGTCTTTTTTGTCTCATCTGCCTTGCTTATTAGATTTCCTTTTGAGTGCACAGAATGTTCCATTTTTCTGGGCCTGGGTAGAGGACTACCTAATTTTAAATGTTTCTGGAATCTCAGGTATTTCTTGAGTGATTGGAACTAGGAGTTGAAAGCAGTTAGGAACTAAGGCCTCACCTATGACCTCCTGTCAGGAGCCCAGCCAGGCAGGATCTTTGGTGTACACATCAAGATGAGCTCAGCAGTTGTATTTGAAATAAGTGAGTGATTGAATCTACTGCAGTAGTGAAATCTGCAGGAGTTGTGTGATAATTTAACTTACAGTAAGACAAAATTAGGGACTTTTAATTTGACTTCAAAGCTTGATGTTTGACATCGACAGGAAAAAAAAAATAAAACCTTTCTTTGAACCAGACTTTTGCAATCTGCATTGGCTATGCTGTCTAAGCAATCAGTTACCCTTATCTCCAAAGGAAATGCTATTAATTCCTTACATGTAAGAGAAGCCTCCACATTCAGAGTAATCAGCAAGCTAAGTAACTTGTCTTTATAGAATAGCTTAGCACTGTGCATAACAAGTCCTAATACTCATTCTGTTTTTAAGCGGAACACATTTCATGCAGATTCCAGGGGACTCAGCATCCTTGATGCTGCTCCCGGTTGTAGGATATTAGAGAGAAAAGGGCTCAGCCAACCTCTTGTCCCTGTCCTCCTCCCTCCTATTCTAGTCACTCCCTGCGTGGCCCTCTGTTGGTTGCTTCCTTATTTCCAGAAGAAGGAACTTGGATTAAGGTGGTATCTTCAGACCTCCTTAGTTCAGTCCTAATGTCCTGTGGCTGACTGATGACTGACACTTGGCCATTGGAGGGCTGCTTTAGAAATGCAAGACAGGAAACCAAGATAGGTTTTTAAATGTCTGTCCATGAAAGAAGTTAGCTGAAATTGTGTTTATATTTTTAACAGATCTTTAGGAATTAGGCACTAGATTTTTCTAGGAAGTTGTAAGGCAGAAACTACTTCTTTGACATTGTGGTACAGTACCTGTTAGGATCTTATGTGAAATTTGCTCTCAGATTGCAACACTGCCAATTACTTCTCATTTTGCCATTGTTCTGGAAGAGCCTTATAATGTATTTTAATGGTAATGTTAACAGTGCTTTTACTGATTTTATGTAGCTTATTTTTAAACCTCTACATTCTTTGTTTTTTTAATCTTAAAACCAAATCCTCTACACTCTATTTAAAGACATTATGTACTGTTGCTATAGCCAATTAAAAATCCTCTCAACAAAATATCATAGATTAGATGAAAGGATATCACTATTATTTTTCTCTAAGATGAGATCTATGATCCAAAACAATTTATTACTTGTTTTTCCTAACAAAGCAAAGTATAGCTGTCAATGCATTTAATTATGTATGAATTCTGAGAACTCCATAAATTTTAATTTTTAGTAAACAGGCATATTGAGGTCTTAAAACAATTAAAGCCAGCTGTTAATAATGAGTTGATATATTACCTTCATCATTACCTGAAACATAATAGTTAAAACATTTTGTGCTTTAGAGCTGATTAATGTCCTTTGTTTGAGAGACATACTGAGATTTGGATAATTTTGTCTGCCTTCTTTTGGTGCTGCTGTAAGAGTCTCCTTATTTATTATTCCTCTTATGATAGACTCTTACTTAGTCCAGCTCCAGCTGGCCTAGGATAAGAGGACTACCTAATTTTAAATGTTTCTGGAATCTCAGGTATTTCTTGAGTGATTGGAACTAGGAGTTGAAAGCAGTTAGGAACTAAGGCCTCACCTATGTACTTCTCAGCATGGCTACTGACAATCAGCATCAGGTTTGGTGATTCGTTGTGGGACTCATGGAACCGGAAATACAGATATATTCATGTCTGTGACTATGCAATAAAGAGAAATAAAGTAAAATCAGTACAAGGAGAGGAGGGTCATGGGCAAGGTTCAGATCATTTGTAAGCCCGCAGTAAAAGTCTCGTCTTCGTTTCTCCAGCAGGTCTGAGCGGTGAAAATGTGACATGCTGGCAGCCAGCTAAGCACAGGGACTTTTTGAGGACTGAGACTATAAGGAAAGCAGGTGCTCATCATAGACCACATTGTACAGACAGTGTAGAGCCAGTGTGTACTCTTACCAGTTTGGGCAATTGTAGCAAATCTGTGGCACACATGCTGTGGCGGGGTCTTTGTATCATTGAAAACTCTAAAAGGCTTACCATCACTGAGTTAGGGAATGATGGGAACCCTCCCTCAACCAGGTTCCTAGGGCCAAGGGCAGTGAGATCTGCTTTGTGTTCTCTGTCTTAAACAGCAGAGATGTGGCCCTTCCATACCTTCAGGCTAGCTCCTGGCTGTGATCAACTAGGTTTCTGAGTATGTTCAAACTCAAGATTCTTAGGAGAAAGAATTAGCCCAGTTGCAGAGAAATAGGACAAGTGAAACCATGGACATTAGGGATTCTTCCTGTTTAAAGAGAGACAGGTGCTTCATTTGGGGTTCAGAAGATGTTCTGAAAGACAGCCATGGGTTACACGTATGGTAAGCTTCTCAGGCTGACTGCAGACTGCAGCTTGCAGAAGCCCTTATACGAAGGGCATTGTAGAATGATAGAGATAAATGGTACCTGAGTGGATCCCTGGAGTACCCTAGCTTTCAAATCATTTCTCTGAGGGAGGTAGGGTACTGTGTGGGTGGTCAGCTGCACCAAGGCCGCAAATGCCTAAGAGATTCTGTTAACAGATTCAGATGCCCTTTCGTGTTTTGTAATACTGTATGTAGTCTTAGTAAATCTGTAAATTTAGACTTCTGATTGAACCCAGTTGGAGTTCATGATAATGGTCTGATTCATCCCTAAGATGGATCCTTGAAGGTGCTGTACAAGAATAGCGAATGTCTCTATAATGTTCCTGTATGTCTACTGTGGTGTTTATTATTTTTAACACTTTCTTGGTAAAACTTTCAATCTAAAGTATTAAAAGATTCTATTTTTAGCCCTCTCTTCTGTGTCTGAATAATTCTTAATGTCAGTCTGTTTAAGAAGCTGTGGTATTTCTGAAAGAAACATTTCTTGAAGCATAAATTATCTTTTATCTGCTGTATACTGTTGAAGTGACACAAGATGGCTCTTTTTTTTTTTTTTTTTTAATCGGTACCAGGGATCGAACTCATGACTGCCTGCTTGCAATGCAGGTGCTTAGGCCGCTGAGCTAAATCCCCAGCCCCTAAGATGTAATGGGAAGACTATAAGTCTCTTGCACAAACCTGTTGGACAAACAATTTACTAGAAACTGTCAGGTCTATGGCCCATGTGGAAAGTGTTTTCAGATCCCTTCATTCGTTGTGAAACCAAAAATTGACAAAAATATCATCATATCTCTTTATATCATTTCTAACTTCATGCATAATAGGTTAGTGTTTAGTTAATTTAGAAAAATACACGTGCACATACACATGCTCTGTGTGTGTATGTGTAATTCAAAACTTAACTGCTTTCAGGCAGACCTTCATCTTCCTTTCATTAAGATTCCAGTGTGCATAGTTAACTGAATTTAGGTCAAAGGTAGTAACACCACCTCCCTATTACTTGGCAGACTTAGCCTGTGGCGATTGTCTGTATATGTCATAGGTGTTACCTCTTTGTCCTACACTGGATGGGCTAATTACCTGCAAGTGAACTGATCTAATTCTCAGTGCTTAGCTCTTAGTTTTTCCTTTTTAATCCACTCATCTGTATCCTCAGACTAGTGTTTGCTTTTTCATGTCAAGTAACTTTGAGATACAAAGGCAACAGTTATTCCAGAGAAGATTGGATTTTATACATCTCTACCCCCAACCACCACTAGCCCCAGTACTGTGGATGGGACCTAGAGGGTTGTGAATGCTAGCTGGGCAAGCACTCTGCTCCTGATTTACACTGCCAGCCTCTGAGGACAGGATCGCTAGGGAAAACAGAAGTGTTTCCTGTGTGCCTAAAAACTGCATGTGATGAATTGGAAAACAGTTTCCAAGTCCCAGCAACTGGTTAGTCAGAAGACTATGAAAAACTAAAATGTGTTATCTTATGGGGCATGAGTTACAGGGGGAAAACCCTTCCTCATATGATGCACTTACTTGCCCACTGTGGTTTCAAGGTACCAGGAAACCTGTTTTTTATATTCTCTACAATGTATTCTCTACATACTCTATAAGTGTGTTGATGGACTAGTGAGTCCCCAAAAGCAAGTCTTTAGAAAAGAAATGCAAAATGCAGTGCCGTTAGGAGATTATTGGCTCCTCTGGTCCCTGGGCATCCTTCTCATGCTTTGAGGTTGAGACCCTGCTGTGACAACCATCGAGGTTGGGGCACCAGAGGCTGAGCGCTCAGTGCTGATTGGCTGTGTGGGTGGCGGGGGGTGGTGGTGGTGGTGGTGAAAAGTGTCTCTTCCAAGCAGTGTTTCTTATTGTGAGCTCTGCTAGCCTCTCTGAGTGCAGGAGTGCCACTGAGTGCTCCAGAGGCCCTACTGGACCTAAACCCAGACCTCTTTGCTGGCACCCTTTGTGGAGAGCAGCTGGTCTCCATGATAACAAGCACTTCCGATAAACATCATCTGTCCTGTGTGTGATGCTCTTATGTGTATTACTTACACATCACTCTCAGAGCAACAGCCTTTATGAGTCTGGTTGGTATAAAAATAACTAGTCCTGTTATTTGTTAATCATCATAAACTATTAGACGTACACAAGTTTTGTGAGATTTACTAATATTTTGTTGTTAATAGAAATGTAACCCCTTATTGACTAGAGCTGCAGTTATTCTGTCAGGTGCTGTTAAGCGGAAATTCTCTCTATTGGCCAAATTTAAGTTGCTCATTTGACAACTGAGCAACTGGATATGCTGGTTGGTGGAAGGATGGGACCATGACACAGAGGCCCAGTCCTCCCCAAATTGGCATGCAAATACGTAACATTTGTGTTGTATCTTTTGTTTTCACAGTGAGAGAAAAACGCAAGAGTCTCTTCATTAACCATGTAAGTGAAGCTGTCTCCCTGTGTTTTTCATGCTGACTGTACAGTGTAAAAACTTGAATAGCTATGTCTTCGATGACTAAAATGCTTCGTGTATTGTGCCAGTACTTAGAAGAATGTTGCATTGTACTCACACTCCATTTGGCTTGTAACCCTTGGTATTTATCCACAGTCTCAAAGGTTTTTCCAGATTCCCTAGACTGCCATTGTTAATGAGAAGATTAATGTGAATAGTGCCGTACCCAGTACCACACAGGTCCAAATAAAAGCCACTTCATTTTAATTTTGATCCATTCTTTATACTCACTTTCAGATCATTCTTTGTTTCCTTGTAGCTTATTTTCATTTGAATAAACACAAAACCATTTCCATTAGCAGCTATCTGCCTCCTCACTCTCTTTCCTCTATGGAATCCCTGCTTGAAGGTCCAGTAGCATGTGCACATTCTTGGGTGCTCAGAAAAGGATAAACTTAACAGTGTAAAAAGATTTTTGAAAAATACACTCCTAGCACCTTGGCCAGTCTGAGAGATTGTCTTCCCATGGTGTCTGTGCAGGACATATCCCCTCAGATATTTCTTCTTTTTTCCTTGAGCAGTAAGTTCAGCCCCACCACTCCCACCTCAAGGCAAGTTACAGCCACCCCTTGTTTTTTGAGTCTATACCCCTTTGTTTAGGAAGAACTCTGTCCATGAAGTATGGGCCAGTAAAACAGGTAAATCATCAACATAGTGTGCTGTAAACGCTCATGCTGGGGGAAAAACAAAACAAAACAGATCTAAATGACCTCACAAAGCTTTTTTCAGGATTCTGAGACTGTCAGTATTTAAGTATTTGCAGACCTTGAGTTACTTAGTAAAGTTGTGTATTAGTATTGTGTTGCCCACTCCTTGAAAATCTGGACAGAATGTATTTGGACAGAAATCTTGTAAGCCAGGTCTATGCACTCAAGAGTCACCCTGCTGTAGAAAACTGGTGGTTCTTTTATGGATGGGGTGAATCTGTATGTATGTGCATCAGCAGTTTTCTAGGGTCAGAGAGTCTATAGTTTTTATTAGATTCTTAAAATGATTCATGACTTCTTTCCTGATCCCTCAGATTTTGTAGCATTGATGCAAAGCATCTGTCCAATTATATGTCACTAAGAAAAGATGATGAAAATTGCTTTCTTTTCTTAAAGCACACAACGGTGTGAGTGATTGAACCTAATTCTCTAAATCCTTGTTTCTGTTTATTTTCTGCTGGGTATAAGCTTGACTGCTTTCCCACTCATTAGCATGTCTGTAAGGGGTTTGCCAGATGAGAGGTGTAAGCTGAGGAGCAACCATATCTTCTCTGCTTACTGCAGCTCCTGGGCGAGGCAGGTGTACTCCTAGGTCTGACTAAACCTCTGCTCTGATCCACTCTCCTGCTGAGCCTTACACTTTGTGTCTGGTGCATCCTTGCACCTGCCCCAGAATGTGCATTAGGTGGTAGGCTCTGCATCCTGTCTCAGGGTGTCCTCCCTGACTTAGCCTAACCTTTAGACGTCTCTGAAACCTCCCATCTCTGACGGTATGTGCAGTGGCACAGTTCTTGTGATCTCTCAGATGCACTTGTTCCTGTGTAAAAGAAGGATCAGCTACGTGTCTACGTAACAGGTGAGCCTGGAGCAGATGACCCTACGATTGGTGTGCCACAGTGAGCTGGCTGCAGATGAGCATGTCAGTTCTGCATCTCCTGAGAAGAGCCTTGGAGTGTGCCATCCCACTGAAATGCTGCTAGAGTGAAATTACCTGCAGGTTCAATTAGGCGAGCACACCAACTTTTTTGTTTGAGACAGGATCTTGATATGCAGTGTAGACTGGCCTTGGACACAGTAGAGAGCTCAGGCTGGCCCTTGAACTTAAGGAGATCTTCCTGCCTTAGCTTCCCAGGTGCTGAGATTGTAGGCATGCACCACCATGCCCAGCTACACCAACTTTTAGAACACTAAAGAAAGTATAAGGAGTATCAATAATCACTGTTACCTGCTGAAGGTCTCACTGCATGTGCCAGCTGCTGTTTTGATTGCTTTAACATACTTGACCAATGTAGTTAGCACAGTAACCACAGTATTATGTGGTATTCCCATTTTATTGATAGGGAAACTGAGCCATAAATAAGTTAACTGAATAAACAGTGGAGCCATGATTGAGACTTGGTTCTTACTGTGTTTGTCAGATAGTGATACCATCTTTCACAGGAACAGAGATTATTTTATTTGTTTGAAGTTGGAGGACAACAATTATAATTAAATTTTCATAGGACAATCTGTAGGATTTATTTCATTAAATGTGGATTCCCAAATAAAATTTGCAATTCAAATTGCTCTTAAATTTTAAAAGAACAGGTATTCTTGAACCCTGTTTGTTTGTATAACCTTATCATTTTTACTTGCTTTATTGTGAGAGGTGTTTCTTTGTTCTGTCAACTTCCTGGAGAACCTTTTTTACATTTTATTTACTATTTTGTAAAGAACAGTGTTTACTTGCTCTTGAAGTTTCTGATGAACCTACCTAGAACACGTCACTCTGATAACCTATGAAAAAGGCAGTTATTTAATAAGAGAATGACAGCAGAGGATATAGAGAAGCCAGTTAAAAGAATGGGAATGATTACAGAGAAAATTTCTAACATCCTTCAGATGAAGAAAATATGGTTTTTCTGGCTTCTGGTACACATCAGGAAGTACAAAGAGTTACTTTGGGCAGCAAAGAGGCAATAGGAATAAAACCGAAGGCAGGAAAAGAGGGTGGACACCGAACTGGCTCGAGACAGCCAGACGAAACCTAGAGGCTTAGGTAACAGGAGGCTGCTTCCTTCCGCAAGGGTGTATCACAAGTTTTAAAGCTTGAAACCATCTGAGAGTAAACGCGTGGCTGTATCATGGTGCATTGTAAAGATTACAGCATCTGTGTTTTAGATGTAATTAGAATGAACAATATTTATAGAAGAATTTAGTACATTATAAAAGGTATTTTTAAAAATTGGTATAAATGGTTGTATTTTAAATTTGAAATTATTTAAAACTCTGCTAAAATTTTGTTTTTTCTGTGTAACTATTTTAATCCTTTAATGAAAATGTGAACATCTCTGATTAGAAATTGCGGGAACATTGTGGGTGACTGCAACTTAGGGAAGCCTCATACCTTTCACCTCAGCCTGGTTGTTCACTGATGTCCTGCTGCCACCTGGAGACAGCATACCTAAAGTGGACTGATCATTCTGAGAAAATAGAGAAGGGGAGAATATTCAAGCAGGAAAGATCAAGAGGCCAGCTTTCCTTTCTTTGCGTTGGTGAACATGTGCTGTAAAATTGTAAAAGACAAACTGGGGGTGCTATGTGGAATCACCCCACCCCACCCAATGAGGAAGAAAGGCAGAGAGTATCATTGAGCAGCTAAGTGAGAGCCACATTGTTAGCTGGACCTGGAGCTGAAGGAATTCTGCCAGCCAGCTGATTGGGCAGCCTTGGAAAAGTCTTGAGGACTTGGTTTTCTTATCTTCTCAATTGAGTCAGAATTCCTGACCTGCTTGACCCAAAGGAGATACTGAAGGAAAGGTGATTTGCAAACTAATTATAGTACCTTGTAAATATATTGATATTATTATTGCCCATTGATGTTTAGGTAATTCTATTAATTTTCTGAGTTGAGTATCAAAACTGATGAAGTCTTTCTGGGGTTTTTGGTATGGGTTTTTTTTCATATTTACTAAGAACAGGAGGAGTGTATTCTAGGAGGAATATATTTTGTTAAGCTCCTTTTGGGAGTGCTGCCTTAAGTAGCTTTTGCTCCTCTTAAATAGTTGAATTCTGAATTGCTTTCTGCTTTGGAGCTTTTAGAGAGACAGGAGTAGAATTATTTGTAAAATGATGTTTATTCTGGTTGTACTTTTGGTCTGTAAATCATAAAAGTCAAAGAATAAAGTGATTTTGATACAGAAACTGGTGTTTTAAAAATTTGAAACATTACTTTTGCCCCTTGCACATTTGCTCTTTTTGGGGAGAGGGCCTGCATTCTTTTTTTTTTTTTTTTCATGTTGTATTTAATTTTATCAGTATGTGTTTGTAATACATGAAGTTTGCATTGATCTTAGAGAATAGGTTAATGTGCAAAATATATCTTGGTCTTTTTTATACCCTTTATCCCTCGCTTCATTTCTAGATTATCTTTCCTCATTTTCATTATTAATGTTATTATTTCATGTTTATACCATATGTTTATATTCATTGTGGGTATTTGATTCTTAAATCTTTTTACTTGCCTTTAACACCTTCCCAGTTGCAAAAGACCTGTCTTTCTTGTTTCTGTCTATCAAGTCTTTATTTTTCTTTTTACACTTTAAGGAGACTAGCTGGATCAAATGGAATTTGAGTCTAATTTGAGTTCTTTGAGAAATTTCCATGTGGATCGCTGCTCTTCACAGAAGGCACGGTTGTGAGCAGCTGCTGTGGTAGCCTCCATACAGTGTATTTGGAGGGTGAGAAAGAAGGGTAGGGTTTTAATGTCAGTTAAATTTTAAAAGCTAGAAAGATAATGAAATCCTACTTTTATCTCAAAGTAATTTCAAGTGATAAATCACTGCAGCAGTGATTTAGAGTACATAATTTTCATATGTCACTAAAAGATCCTTAGGCCCTGGGTCTTAGAGCACTCAGGCTGCTTGACAAGGATATTGAAATGGAGCAGGTGCTTTGCTTTTTTCCTTTCTTTCTCTACCACAGAAAATCTAGAGATGAAAGTGACAAACACACCATAATGCTGGCACAGATGATGTCAGTTCCAGGAATGCACTGGTAATGTCTATGGAAGACTTTTCCTTCCTCCCCTTCTTTTCCCCTTCGCCTATCTCTCCCTCCTCCTCCTCCCCTCCATTTTGTTTTTGTTCGTTTTGTTTTGTTTTCCCCTTTTGGTGGCACTGAGAATCTAGGGCTTTGCATGCTAGGTAAGTGCTGTACTACTGAGCTGCAGCCCCAGCCTGACTTTGTTTTCTCTTCTGTTTGTTCCTTCAGTCACCCTTCCTCTTTTTCCACTCGTTCCCTCTCCTGATGAGCCACTTGACTCTGGTGTGGTATGAATATAGGATAGCTAAGGGGATGCTGCCTCCTGGCTGCTCTCTTAGATCCTTTGAAAACTTTGACTGGTTAAGACACCCAGCTGTGAGGGTCCTAACCAATGTTAGGGTTCATTTCAGACATTCGTGTCTTTTCAGTGAAAAGTGCTGAAGACCCCATTCCTAAATAAGGAGGCGCGATTTTCCACTGCTCAGACCCTGCGGTGTGTGGGAGAAGGCACTCTTGTAGTCTCTGCCTTCCTGACTCCATTGCTGCCATTTGTAGTTCTCCAGCCTTAGCCTCCCAGCTTATTTTTATATCAATTTTGAATATTCTTGTATCAATTTTTGTATAGACATGTGTTTTTGTTTCTCTTGGCATATACCTAGGAAAATAATTATTGGATCATATTGTAATTCCACATTTAATTTTTTTGTTGTTGTTGTTCTTTTTTGAGACAAGATCACACTATGTAGTGTAGGCTGGCCTTGGGCTCATTTTGTAGTTGATCCCAAACTCACAGGGATCCTCCTGCCTCAGCCTTCTGAGTGCTAGGATTACAGGTGTGTGTCACTATACCCAGCTTACATTTAATATTTTATAAAGTTGCCAAGCTCTTTAATAAACTAGTCTTTAGTATTTGTTTGCTATCCTGTAAATGTGATTTTTAACTGGTACAGCATTAAGGTACATTCTTTCCTCAAAACACAACTCATTTTTTCAGTTTTGAATATTATAAACTTTACTTAGGAGCTATAGCTCTTTGGAACCAGTAGTTTTGACTAATATAACTGCTTTCACAGAGAAATACAGAGGTGTGTTACTTAAGAATAATTCTCCTTGCTTAAGAATAGCAAGAACAGCCAGACATGATGGTGCATGTCTGTAATGCCAGCACTCAAGAGGCTGAGGCAGGAGGATCGTTGCAAGTTTGAGACCACAAGTTTGAGAGCTACAAAGTGAGCTCAAGGCCAGCCTGCACTGCATAGCAAGACTCAAACAAACAAATCAAAAATATGTCATTAGTAGTCCTGTGGCCTGGATTCCTGTTTTCCAGATGTGTTGTGATGGCAAGATTTTACTGTTTTGAACACATAATAGCTGTTCAATAAAATCTTTTACAAGGTATAATCCAACAGTTTTTACATATTAGTGGACCTTGATGTAAGTAAGAAGTTATTTTGTATGTTGGACACTATAAATAGACCAGATAATCTTGTAGCTCTGAAGTCCTACTTGACATGGTCACTGTTTATTTATTATCCTTTTTGAGACAGGGTCTCCCTGTGTAGCCCAGGTTGGCTTTGAACTTGCTTATGTAGCCCAAGCTGGCCTTGAACTTAACACGGATCCTCCTTCCTCAACCTGCTGGGTGCTGGGATTACAAGCACATGTCACCACGCCTGGCTTGGTCATAGTTTATTTTATAAAATGCACATTATTTCAAAGATACAAACTTTTCTCTAGAGATAATCTATGTTTGGGTTTCTCACTAATCAGACTGTTTCCTGTTCCCCTTCTAAGAAGAGTTCGTGGTTGGCCTTATAGTATCCTGTCTGTCTGGGAGTCGGTTGTCATTTGTGGGCAGCTCTTTCCAAGCCACTTATGTGTGCCTGTCTTTTCCAAATGAGGCACTGTCTTAGGCATTTTTATATTAATTGTTGTGTACATTAGGTACAGACAGCACTCCTACCATTTTGTTGACCATGTTCAGTGTTTATAATTATGAGCCCAGGTGCCTCTCCTACTGGCCCCATGAGGGGACAGACTGTTACCTTCATCGATATCCACAGGTGTGGAAACTGAGGTGCAGAGTGTAGAGGCTACCTGGTGACTTCCCCAGGCCCCCCTGGGAGTTTTGGGTGAGTCAGATTGACACCCAAGTGTCTGTTTTCTCCACTTGCTCTGCTGTAGTGCATCTTATTGCTATGTTATTTACTTGCATAGATTGAAACCTAAGTGGAGAGTCTGTGTCTGTCACATATGTAAGTGTAGTGATTTTTTTAGAATCATGCAGCAACTAAATTAATAAAAATTTTTACTAGAAATGAGAACTGTCCAACACACTTAATTAAAAGCTTCAGCAAAAAATTGGCTACATCTTTTAGCAGAGGTGTACATAATTGTGCTTCTGTGCCTTCAGAGGCACAGTGAAATTTAAAGCTGTCTGAGTTAGTGGTAGGGTAGTGCTAAACATCACATTGCTGGAGCTTTTCTCTGCTACACCCTCAAAGAACAATTTAAACCAACACACTAGTCAGAGAAGGAATCAACCCTGAGCTCCAGACCATCTGGTAGAATGATTCTGGGTAGCTCAGCTTTAAAGTGATGCTTACTTCTATAGCTCTTGCAGTCCTGACTAGTAGCATTTAAAGTGATGAAATACCTTGAATTCAAGAATCTAATGGCTTAATACTTAGCAATTTATTCAATTTAGAAATCATTGAAGAATTTGAAAGAGTTGAAAGTTAAGGACCTTGGCTCATCAGTCCTTAGTTCTGGGATATTTATTTGGACTCACAGGAGGTCCGGAGTAGGTCCTTCGGTTTGACTGATTAACCCTCCAGCCCATGGGACTGAGTGTCCAGAGCCCGAGCCCTGACTGTGGCTCACACAGGTGATTTTTTTAGACCATGCTGGTGCAGACAGCACTTGCTTCAGTGTATCTCTCCTGGCTTTCTGACATCATGGCTTATGTTTTCTGAAGGAAAACATATGTTTGCTATTCTCTACCACATTAGTCTAGAAGGAATTTCTATCAAAGGAAATTGAAATCCCACAAGAAATAGAAGTCAAATGTTATTGTCTGTTTGCTTCATTGGGAATATCTCTAAAAATTCATTTACATATGTATTAGTTACTGATTTTTTTGTGTGTAACTATTGTATCTGTTAAGGTTTTTGTTTGTAGTAAATTTTTTCAACTGTGAGGAAAATGTGGTAAGGATGTTCAAAGCTTACTACTCATTTTAATACTTTTAGATTCTGATTTTTAATACTGTTAGATTCTGATTTTTTAAAACGTTTTGTAGGATTGCAGTGTAGTTGCTACATGAGAGTAAAAAGTTTTTCTAATTCCTGTGGATTGTCTCAATGACAATGTTGTGATATGTTCATAGGAAAATGCCATGTCAAAATTGTAATTCAAGTTGTAACTTGAACTTTACAGCCTTTCTTTATGTCCTTTCCTCACAGTGGTGAAATGGTCTGAAACAGTTTGAGAGCGAGGTATTCTACTGAAAGCAAACTGGTCTCCTTTCCTAACCTGAATGCTATTTTTATGAAACTTCTTTGGAGAATCAGAATGGTTTAGTAGTGCAGTGCCCTCTAGCTGTGATATTTATATCATTGTTTATGCACTTCTCAAGCTACTGCATGTTTTCATAATTTTATTGCAGAGAAAACATATTAATTGAAAGTAAATGACAAAGTATTAAGTGGGCCTCTGGTCTTTAACTGGTCTTAAGGTTTCTGTTATTAAATTTGTGAGCTGTGTATTCCCAGCTGTGGTGAGGGAGGGGAGGTTAAGCACGTGATTTTATGATTTCTAAGGGATTAGTGTTTTGGTTGCTGAAAATGGCAGACTGCCAACAGAGCATCGAGTAAGTGGTAACTTGGTTGTATAATTAGATTTTGTTCTGCACTGATGTTAAGTAATTGTGTTTCTCAAATAGTTGTCAGAAAACTGCAGCATTCAGTCAGGTGATTTCAGTGATAACATAAATTGTTTTCTTTACCATAAACTTTCTCCACAGAACTGAAAATGTACAATTTTGAAAGAACAAGTAACAAGAGTGCATAAGAATACTACTAAAGGTCATCCATTTTCATAAGTGTCAGATAATCTTCAAAATGCGTTTTGTCCTTAATATAGCAACACTTCATTAGTTCTCATGCTGACGTTTAAGCAGGCTAACTAGATTTTAATTAATCTTGGTTGCATTTTTATAGCCTCCAAGTCAGCCTTTTCCCAGGGGTATATAAATGAGTACAGAGGATTTTCATCTTGATCGTAGTGCATAAAGCTAAAATGTCATCTTTATTATGGGTTTTCATTAATGCAGTGAGCAGTATATTCCATGCTTTTCCTACGTTTCAGTACCAGTAATTTTTGTGGATTCTGAAATGCATTCTTTGATTCTTGGTTGTAGACAAAGATTTACTCTTTTCCTAATGAGGAAGATATGGGAATGGGGTGGAAGAACAAAAAAATCCTTTTTAATAAAATGTTTTTGTCTTGGTGGTTGTGCTATACACATTTTTCCTCTGTGATCTAATTGCAGATAAAGGGAAAATGATGTTTTTGGAAGGATTTTGAGCCCTGTATAATTAATTGTCTTTGTCTTACTGACATTGCTTTCTAGCATCCTCCAGGACAAATAGCAAGGAAGTACAGCTCCTGTTCCACGATCTTCCTCGATGATAGCACAGTCAGTCAACCAAACCTCAAGTACACAATTAAATGGTGGGTATACAGACTTATTAAATGCTTATTCTATGCCTTACCCTGAAGACCTGGTTCTGGGTCTAGGAGTGATAAGATTGGCAGGAAAGGTAGAGGGAGTACTGAGAATTCTAGAATTATCAAAAAGTGACTTTTACATTAAGATGTGTGCTATTAAGAATATTTGTATGTATTACTACTTACTATAGAAGACCAATGTTTGAAATCACTTTAAATGTAGGTGATCTGAAGTAAATCTTAATTTTTGTGTATGCTTTGTGCCCTTTTGTTTTGGATTGAAGCGGTCCTTCCACAATTCTTTCTCTAAAGAGAGCATTGGCTCCCATAGTCCTGAAGGAAACCCGCTTCACATGTGACGGGAGTGCCACCTAGGGGTGAAAGATGTGATATTGGCCTTCTCACCTGCAGTAAGGTTTGAGTACAAGCCTTCTGTGTGGGGTCTTTAGTTCCTTTTTACAAAATGGAGTCGAAGGGGGAGTCTTTGCATCAAGTCCTTTACCCTTTGGAGAAATTCGTTTCCTTATTTTAAGAGGTTTCACTGTAATGATCCCATCAGCACTGAGATAGCAGCTACCTTTAGTAAAGATCGTATGTGATATGCTAAGATCTGGGTTCAGCTGCTCAGCTGTGAAAAGTCTTGAATAGTTTGCCTCTGCTATACTTGTTTCAGAAAGTGCACATTTAACAACCATATATTACCATATGAAAAAAGCATTGACATTTCTAATTATAAAGTATTCTGTTTAAATATGCTGAGTTTTCAAACTTAGAAGTCCTGTTCTGAATGGGACTCCTTGTGATAATCTTGGTTGTAGTTAGTCAGGCAGTGAGGACTATAAACATCAATAGATCTTTCAGGGAGAAGTTGGAAAACAAGATCCCTTGGGTGGAGGGTTCTGTCTCTCCTGTTGTGTGACATGCTTCTAAGATCTAGATAGCAATGTATCCTGATCACCACCCTTCGACTGGAGTTCACTGCTAGGTAATGCTGAAGAGGTAGCTCCTGGAAGTATTTTGTAGATAAATCGTTAGGACTACGAAAGGTTTGGAAAACCCTGAAGATCAGGGCACTTTGTGACTCTTGGCACCTGCTTGACCTATTCTTTTAAGCTTCTAAAGCTCTTTCATTCCATTTATATTCAGCTCATCACCTTAAATGCTTTTGAAAATGTTATTTGCTCATTATTATTTTTAACACTTAAATCATTTGAATGAATAGATCTAGAAAGAGAAAGGTTTAGAAGAATCTGAGCTTTGTGCTAGAGCAAGATTAGCCATTGTCATATAATGCTGTAGGCAAACATCTGAGCTCTCTGGAATTTTTTAGTATGTGCTGAAACCTCTGAGCTTGTGCCTCTCGATACATTCTCACCATGTTGGTTTCCTGGACGAATGCCAAGTTTTATTTTTTCATTTTAATAAAATAAAAGGAGATATTAATAAAGAAAATGTAAAAATGGGGCTGGGGATTTAGCTCAGCGGCATAAGCGCTCGCCGGGCAAGTACGAGGTAATAGAGTTTGATACTGATACCTCCAAAAAATAATGTAAAAAGGTACTGTTTTGTAGAAAAAGCAAAATTCATAACAAAATTTTAGAGAATAACAGTAGTTAATATGCTGTATATCATAATTTTAAAACAATGGTCAAATGTTACTCAGAGAAGAGATCATAGCCAGAAAGCTTTACAGGGATGAAACATATAAATAATAGCATTAAAGTTTCTCTTCAGTGAACTGAGAAACTGGTAGTATAAATGTGAAAAATTAGCATATAGTAAAATATTTTTTTGATTACTTCCAATATACATATCTTCACAATAAATAGATTGTCGTATAAGAGAAACCATGTGGTATTATGTATCTCATTTCATTTAACATTATGTTCTCAAGTTGTATCCATTTGTTTGTGAGTGGCTGATGTTTAGCTTTCTTTATGGCAGAGGAGTACTCCATTGCAGCACAATAAATACAGTGAATAAATGTGTAATTACCACATTTTCTTTATCTATTGATCTGTTGATGGACATATGTGCTATTTCCAATGCTATTATAAATTGTGCTACTGAAAACATGGCTATGCATGTATTACGTAAAACTGTGATTTTGACTGGTTTGGAAAGATACCTAGAAGGGAGATAGCCAGGTCAAGTGGAATTCCTATTTAGAATATTTTGAGGAGTCTCCACACTAATTTTCATAATTGTATTACATTTTTACTGACAATATAGAGTTCCTTCTTCTCCATGCACATACCAGCATTTGTATTATATACATATTTTATGATGATAGCCATTTTTTCTGGGTTAAGAGAGTATCATCATATAGTTTTTAATTTTCATTTCTCTAATGGCCAGCAATGTTGAACATTTTTTAATGCATTTAATGGCCATTGGTACTTCTTTTTCTGAGATGTATCTGTTCATTTCAGCTGCCTATTTTTTTCTTTTTTTTTTTTGTAGTTTTACCGGTACCAGGGATCGAACTCACGACCACACGCTTGCAAGGCAGACGCTTATGCCACTGAGCTAAATCCCCAGCCCCCAGCTGCCTATTTTTTGATTAAATCTTTTGTTTAGGGGGTTTTAATTTTTTCAGTTGTTTTCTACCACCCATTCATGATTTAAAAACCCTGAAGAAAATAGATAGAAGGACCTTGACTCAATCTGGTAATAGCCATTTAAGACCAATCTATGGCCAACATTATATTCAATGGGGAAAAACTGAAAGCTTTCCCTCAGGAATAAGACAGGGGTGTTCATTATCACCACTCCTGTTGAGCATAGTCCTAAAAACATTAGCCAGAGCAGTCAGGCAGGAGAAATAAAAGGTATACATACAGGAAAAGACAAAGTCAAAGTGTCATTATTTGCAGTTGAATAAATTCCACCAGAAGACTCTTAGAATTAACAACAAAATTCAGCAATATAGCAGGATTCAAAGTAAACCCATAAAAATTACTAACAGTACTGTATGCTAATAGTGAACTCACTGAGAAAGAAATTAGGAAAACAGTACCATTCACAGTAGTGTCATGAAAAGTTAAATACTAAAGTAAGGAAATGGAAGACCTTTAAAGTAAATATTATATCACTCTGCAAAAGATTACTGAAGAGGATATTAGAAAATGGAATGATAATGTCCTATTCCTAGATTGGCAGAACCACAATAATTAAAATGACCATGATTCCAAAACTGATTTTATGGATGTAACATAATCCCAATCAAAATGCCAACAGCATTTTGAGATATTGGAGAAAAGAATCATAAAATTTATGTGTTAGTAGAAGAGATGTGGAATAGCAAAATCGATCCTGAATAACAAAATCAAAGTGGTAATCATCACAGTTCCAGCTTTTAAGTTATATTACAGAGCTACTGTGGTTAAAACAGCATGGTACTGGCAAAAAACAATCATGTGAATCAGTGAAACAGAATAGAGGGAGCAAAAACAATGCCAGACATATTCAGCTGTTTGATCTTTGACAAGAAACAAAAAATACTGCAGGAAAGGTTACCTCTCCAATAAATGGTGCTTGGAAAATTGGATATCCACATACAGAAAATTTGAGTTTAGATCCACATGTCTTACCTTGTACTAAACTAAAATCAAAATAGATCAGATTTAAATGTTAAAAAGAAACAGTCTGCTGGAAGATGAAACAGATACAACTGTTGAAGGTATAGGCGTAGGCAACAGCTTTCTGCACAGAAGTCCAGTGGTACAAGAAATAATACCAAGACTCAGAAGCTTTTTAATCATATCAGATTAAAAACAAAAGAAATAACCAACAGAGTGAAGAGACAGCCTACAGAATGGGAAAAAACGTTTTGACAGCTATTCCTCTGACAGAAGACTAGTATCTAGTATGACAGTTTCTTTTCTCCAGAGAACCAGAGCAAAGTCTGATATAGCCAAATAGCTGTGTTTTAATAGAAGCTGTAAGGATAACTTTTTTGCCACCTGCATAAACTTTAAGACAGAGTGGAAGGATCTAGCCAGTTTATCAAAGAGGAAATTAAAAAAAGATTAGGCCGTCTCCATGTAGTTTTAGTTTTATTTTTTAAAATATTAAAGGTGGAGTGGGAACAAAGAGCAGGTGCAGGGCCTGCCTGGCAAGTATGGATCCTTGAGTTCTAGTCCTGGTAGGCACCCCCACCCCCATCGTATTTTCCCAGAATAATTTTAATGGTTAAAAAATGTTAACAAGGATAAAAATAGGCTACAGATACTATATTTGGACAAACGGATTGGTTTTTTTTTCCATCATTCTGTCTTTTCTCAAATTTGTGTAATGAATATATTGTGCTTTATAGCAAAAAAAATTTATTTTTTAGAAAAGATTCTGGGTAAAGAAACGTTCTTTAAATTCAGACTTTTTAATGTTTAAAATCTTGTTTTATAGTAGTATTACAAGTAAGTTACAGTACCATTTTATTTCAGCAAGTAAATGTGTAAGTTGTATAGTTGGCTAAGAAATTATTGATTTAAAAAGTAAGAAAAACCCTCTGTGGGTGATAGTCATTTTTCTGGTAGCTATAAAGAAACCACTAATTTTCTGTACCAGTAGGGAATGAGCTGGAAATTACTAAAGGTATTTAGTATACCATTTACCACCTTTTTTTTTCTTTTTAGAGTGTATATTTTACAAGAAAAGAAAGCTTAAAATGTCATAGTAATAACAGTTTATGTTAAGTATCAGTTGAAGTTCTGTGTTTAGAAAAAGATTTAGTAACTGCTGAAAAGGAGTACCAGATTGCTTTCATTTGAGGAGAGCATTTTCTTGATCCGCATTCTGAATGAAATGTGACTGTTCAGATGGATGGTGACTTTTATTTAAACTGAAATATTGATATTGTGACTGATCACAGATATTATTGAATATGCTTATGAAAGATTGAACCTCTATTTTATTTTACAGTGTAGCTCTTGCAATATATTATCACATCAAAAACAGGTATGTGAATGATTAATTTGTTCTAAAAATAGATGAAATTCTATTGTGCTTATTTTTTCCTATTATTTTCTGGTTGCTGGAAATTTTGCCTTTTATCTTTGTATCTTATTTTCATAGAATTTCTAATGATAACAGTGTAGTTTATTAAAACTTTCCTGGTAAATATCAACTGCTTCTGAATTAGAGGACACCAAATGGGTGTTTGTCGTTGAAATCAACAGGACAGAACAAAGCTTCTTGATAATGTTAAGCTGCTTCTTCCTTACTTTTCTTTAATTAGTTTAAACATCCTTTTATAACATGTTATTTTAAAATTTTGCTGTATGCAACTTTAATATGAAAAATATAGTTTGAACTCATTCAAGGAAATTTTGATATCTATTTAAACATAAACTTTTAATGTACTCAAAATCCTCTCAATAAGAAGTATATTTGGAAATGACTTGGCAAATTTAAAAAGTCAACAAAAACAAGGAATTTTTAAAAAATTACCTCAAGAATGTTACCTCAACATGAAACACATAAGAATACATTTATTTATTTGCTTTTTTTAAAAAACTCAACGTCCAATCATTTGATTCAAGCCTGGGATATTAAACCACTTTTATAATTCCTCTTTTCTAGATGCTCCTCCACACACACTAGTAGTGAGAAAATTTCAACATTTGCAAAATACTGACTGTTGATTCTTTCAGACTGTGACTATGCTTACTCTACAGAAGTTATTTTTAGTCGTTTGCTTTGAATTTTCCAAAACAGCCTCTTAATTTTCATAAAAACACAGGCAATCTTACTGCAGTCATATTTTATGTGAGTACTATGATATTTTATATATATGTGCATAAGAAGTACAGCTGGTGTGATCTAGTTTGGGAATAAGCGAGCCACCGCCACGGAGCATGGATCTCACCTGTGGGTTCATACCGCCTGCAGGCTGTTCGCAGACAGTGAGTTCGACTCAGTGAAGGGGAGGGGGCAGCAATATGGCTCCTGGCACAGTGGGAAACCAACACCTAGACAGGAATTTTGTGAAATAATTTCTTCTGTATTGTGTTTTTAATTGTGCTTGAAATTCTTGAATATAAGAATATACAAATGCTATCGCTTTAGTGCCTTTAAACTAAAAAGACAGTGAAAATACATATTTTGTCTTTTGCTAATTTCTGTGGTAGTTCAAACTTCTAAAATATTTAAGCTTAAAGTAGTAATAATACTGGTAGTGAACTCAGCAGTACTCTCACACCCACCCACCATCACATATACTGGGAATTGAACTCAGCCTCTGCACTGAACTTCATCCCCAGCACAACACACACATGCTGCACACCTTTAAATTTTGAGATGGGGCCTTGCCAGGTTGCCCAAAGCTAGTCTTGGACTTGAAGTTCTAATGTATTTCTTTGTGGTGTTGTGTTTTTGTTTTGTCTTGTCTTTTGGTACTGGGGTTTAAAGCCAGAGTCAGGTACATACTAAGCTTGCTCTCTATACTGAGCCGTATTCCCAGCTCAGGATTTTTGCTTCCTCAACTATCACAGCTCCTGATACTGATTTAATCATAGTTGGTAATGATTACAGCCAACTTTAGTAAGTGCTTACTCAGACTACTCTTTTCATTCTTTAAATACATAATCTTCTATAGCTTTAATAGCTTACAGCTCCATAGAGTAATAGTAATGGTACTTTAATTTTACAAATAAGGCACAAAGAGATTAAATAGAAGCTTTAAGATTATATAAGGAGTACATTAGGCAGTTGGTAACTAAATCCAAGCAATCTATCAACCAAGACCTTTAATCATATTGCTCTTCTAGATTAATGGTGATAAGCTAGGTCAAAAGTGAGTAGAAGCCAGGCATGGTGGTACAAGCCTATAATCACAGAATTCTGGGAGGCTGAGGCAGGAGGATCCCAAGTTCAGCTCAAGCAATTGAACAAGACATTTAAAAAAAAAAAAAAAAAAAGAGCGATACTGGGGCTGAGTGACAGTGAGTGTGAATGCCCTGGATTTGGTCCCCAGGGACGGGGTAGTGGGGAATGAATGGAAGTAGAGAAAGTCCAACTAAAAATGTGACCATCTATGAACTAGCAGCATGGGAAGGGAAGGTCTAACTGTCCATAAAGCTCTTCCTCAGTGAAACATGCATGGCAAATCCTGGTGCTGATTGGCAAGAGAGTAACATGAGACAGGTGGTGCTGCCCACCAGAGTGTATGCAGCTTTTCATGGAAGTCCACAGGAATAGTCCATTTTGCAGGAGATAGCCTTTCCTAGTCTAGTTCAAGTTCTGAATCTTCATTTCTCTTTGTAGTCTCCATTTGCGTTGTTAAAATTACTTCTGGTGAATGTTTCTCTTCAGGAAAATTGAGCAGGACCGTTGGCTGCCTAAGGCAGTAGGTTCTCAGCTGGGCTTATAGTGCTTGTGAACCATGGAGAGGCAGTAAGGAAGGTGAGGGAATCTGCTGATTGTGAGAAGGAGCTGTTGCTAAAGGAAGGACAGCCGGTGCCCCAAGGAGCTGTCCTTACGCTTTTGTGTTCTGCTGTTGGGTTGAGCCTTTCTGCCACTTGGATTTGTCCCAGTCTTTGCTACTGTGTTCACACAGGCAGGAGCAGTTGGGCACAGGGTCAGCAGCCAGAGGTTTAATTTCTATTGTGCAAATGCAGGAATGAAAAGCAAGCTGCTTTGTTAGATTTTTTTCTTCATATTTACAGATAGTAAACATAGCACAAATCATTCTTTTTGAGGAGATGAATGTGTGCTAGGGACAAGTCTGTCAGCCTTCTGATGTTCTAAGCCTAGCTGATGCTGGAAGCACAAACCTGAAACGACTATATATGCTGTTACCCAGAAGTAGTGGCTTCCAGTTTGGGTTTTTAAAGAAAAAAATTTAGGAAAAACTTAAATTACACAAGATGAAAATAGCACTTTCAGCTGGCAAATGCAATGGTTCCCGCAGAGCCTGGCAGCTTAAGGCAGTACGCAGACAGTGACCCCACCACTGGAACCAGTCTGGTGACAGCTGGCCATGCTGTCATAGACTCATGGGTCAGTAAGTGAAGCTTTTTTTACTTTGACCAATTGTTTTTCAATAAAAATTTGTGAAACTCTTTAATTAGTTGAACGGTCAAGCTGCTGTGAACATTCCCAACTGATCTCCAGGATCCACGAATGATCGTTCTGAAGCTCAGACTTCTTCTATGTCAGCTGCAGTGTGATTTCAGTTTATACAGATCTGTTAGCATTTGTTTAGAAGTAGTATGTTTAAAGAAATTTAAGTCTTTGCTTAGATTTAGTTCATATGAAAACTTGGAAAATTAAAATCGAGATTTTTGTTTAAAATTAAATGTTTTGGTTCCAAATGTTCATTTTAGGCCCATCCAGCCTATGAGCTGTGTGTAGTCCTGGACAGCAAGTGCTATGGCCCCTCAAGATTATAAATTTCACCCTTATTGCAGTGTTTTCCATGCCTGCTTTGTGCAGTGTTTGAGTGTGGACTATTGTATAATAGCAATGTACTTCCCCATTGCTAGGACGAAATACCTGACACACACCGTTTAAAAGGAAAGAGAGGTTATCCAAGTTTCCTTGGATTCAGCTGGCTCCAAGGCAGAAATGGCATGGTGAGCAGGCCTGTTAGAGAAAGCTGCTGGTAACACGGCGGTCAGGAAGCAGAGGGAGAAAGGAGGAGCCTGGACAGGAACATGGCCTTCTAAGTCACACTCCCAGCAGCCTGCCCCTCTTAACCAGGCTCCACCCCGAATGGTAGCGTTCTGGGCACATTTTTAAATCTAACCTTTAACAGTGCAGTTGATGAGGGAACTCTGTACAGAGGAGCACACAATGTAGTGCTGGCTCCACCTCCCAAACCCAGTGTATGTGTCCACACTGAAACTCACAGATGCATCAGCATTGTATACACAGGCCATATGGCAAGTAAACACTGCAGTTACCAATGGCAGCTTGTCTGTGGAGACACGTGCTGTTAGTAAATTAGGTATGTAAGTTTTCTTATTTTTATCTTGATCACATGTTATTTTGTTTTAGTGTTATTAAAAAATAAAGGAAACCTTGGTCATATCATTTTGTTTTACTGTTATAATATTAAAAAATAAAGCAAGTTTTGTTACTTGTATATATTAAGTATGTTACGTATTTTAACAGCTCCTCTGTAGTCAGTGTAGTTCAGGCAAGCCAAAGGCTCAAACATCTATGCTTTATTTCCATGAACTAGTCAAAGAAAGACAAGCCATTATTTACCAGAAATCACTCTCTTAAATTTAGCACTACTTCTATCTCTTGAAATAAAGTTGAGCAAAATTATATTTTTCTTATATTTTGAATGATACTCATTATTGTAAAGAATAAACTCCATTTTCTACTATTCCCTTCCTCCCTGCAGGGACCCAGATGGAAGGATGCTCTTAGATATTTTTGATGAAAACCTTCACCCTCTTTCGGTAATCTTCTCTTCATGTCATGAGGTCATTTAATTTGCTTTTGCTCCTATTGGGTGTCTAGTCATAAGACAGAATTTCCTTCTGCAGAAATCCGAAGTGCCACCAGATTATGACAAACACAATCCAGAGCAGAAGCAGATTTACCGGTTTGTTCGGACACTGTTCAGTGCTGCACAGCTGACAGCTGAATGTGCCATTGTTACCCTGGTGAGTACATTTGGGTTGCTCCTCTAGTTCTAGAGTAGAGGCATAGAGGATCTTCATCAGGGAACACTGTGGTGTACATGTCATGGTTTCTTTTGTTCTGGGAGAATGTGTATTTGAAATGATTCTGCTCTTCAGTCCTCATCTAAACTCATTTATGAAATCACATTCATCTAATAAATACAGGAATGTTGAAACCAAGTAAGTAAAAACAGTTGGGCTAAGGAAGACTAAGAAGAGTCAAGGCTATCCTTCGTCTATTAACATCTGGTTTTCTTCATTCATTCCTTACAGTGATGTCAAATGACATTAGTGAGCTATGATGAATATGTAACATCCTGTATGAACACTTATGTAGGAAGGAATGTTTATATTGCAAATGATTTTTCATTTTTATGTAATGTGTCTATAAGATAGATACTCAGATAATATGGAAACACTCTGCATTTTAAGACTTAAGACAAAAAAAGAAAATTTGTTTTTAGATTTTACAATTGGACTATTTAGGTCAAATTTCCTTTAGGAGTAGAGTAAACAGTGCAACCCACTCTCCATGACTTTTTGTGCACTGGAGCTTTGTCTGAGTGAGCAACCTTCCTTAAGTGATCATTGTGTAACAAATTATACAGGCAACCTAGGAACTCTTGTGTCCATTCCACACTAAGAGCTGTGCCTTTAGGCTAGTTCGACAGTAAACATGTTGGCATATGCATCTGCTCATCCATATGTTTATTCTTTCTCACTGAACTTGTAGTCTAAAGGTAAAAACAGATGTTCAAGTTATCATTTGGTAATTTAGAATGATTATAGGTTCTAAGGTTATAACTGAGAACTATATTTATTTTGTTTCTCAAAAGGATTTCAGGTTTTTGCAAAAATACAACAAAGCAGTAAGTTTGAGACTTTTATGTAGGTAGACTAGTCTGAAGGGAATCTGTGCATGAAGGAGGACAGAAGATACATGAGAAGAAACCACTGCTGAGAGTAGTACTAAAGTTCATGCCATGAAAGAGATTTATTTGGAAACTACTGTAATGGAAGGCAGAACGTTTTTCTTTTTAACCTTAATTCCTGTGGAAAATAAGACCGAACTCTGTTTGCTTTTGGTATGCCTCTGTAGTATGACCAGCATTTGGAAAGCAGCCTGACATATATACGCTTAATAAATAATTATTGAATATGGTACATGGTGCTAACTTCCATGGGGTTGATGGGGTTGATGTACCTCACATTTTGCCTGAAACATAAGGAGCATGCAGTACCCACTTGTTAACTTTATTTCTTACTCCTGTACAGTGGTATCTTGGTTCATGAATGCTTTTGTTTGCAAAAGTTTATGAGCAGAAGCATTTGGCAGAATTTGTTTTTGTTTACTATCTCTTGTTTTTGGTGATGAACACAACTGCGGCCATCTTTCCTATACAAACACTAACATGGCCACCTGTGTTGGTTACTTTTCTCTCACTGCTGAGATAAAAATACCTGACACCCAAAAATAACAAAAGGTTTATTTAAGCTTACAGTTTGTGGAGGTTTCAGTCCATAGTCAGCTGACTCCAAGGCAGCATGGCATGGCATAGAGGCAACACTTTAAGGTGGCAGAAGACAACAAAAACAGCAAAAGCAAAAAAGTGGGAAAGAGCAAGCTTCTTTTCCTCACTTGTATTGTAGGCAGGCTACCTGCCTTGGGCAAGTGTGGCATTCACACTGTCTCCCTGCCCTCCTCTTGCACTACTCAGGACATTTACAAAGTGAGGACCTTGGTTCCCTGCTGAGTCCCTTAGTTAAACTTCTGAACTTCTTAAGTTGACATAGTATCAACCATTACACCATCTTTTCCAGAATCGTGGAATAAATTAAGCTCTGGAAATACCACTGTAGTTTTATAACTGCAGAACATCATCACATGTTCTGCAGTTCCATTGCTAATTAAAGTAAGCTTTTGAAGGCATAGTAGTGAAGATGTTATCTTTGGGGGCATCACATGCTTGTTACCACAAAAGTGATTCTATCTAGAGAGTGGCAGTAATGGGAGGAAGGAGTGGTAGTAATTACTGGGACGGAATCAGGCAAAAAGTAAAGAACACAAGTGGGTGGTAGAGTGAGAACTAACCAGTGAGAGGCGCTGTATTCTCCTTTTTCTCTCTTATTTTTTTAATGGCTTAGTCAATAGATTAGCTTCTTGTTACGACAAAATGCCTGAGAAACAGCTTAAAGGGGAGCAGTTTCGGTTCATGACTGGTGCCATTGCTAAGGTGAGGTAGAGCATCATGTCAGAAGATCACAGAGAGAGGGAGGGAAAGAGAAAAAGAGAGCGAGGGAGAGAGAAAGAGCGCCTCTCCTTTCTTTTTGTTCACGTAGAGGTGCTTAGGTTATTGGATAGCCATCACATAGCTTAATTTCAGAAGTGTATTCATCACCTTGGGAAGAAATCCTTTGTTCTTTGGCATTATTTTTTATTCCCAATTCCTACGGCAGGCCTAGAAGTCAGTAATACATTTTCGGCCTCTGTAGAATTATTCGTTCTGGGTATTCCACGTACTTGGAATAAACTTAGGATTTATGATTGGCTTCTTTTACTTAATATGTCTTCAGGGTTCATCTATGTTGTAGAATATATATAGTATTTCATTCTTTTTTACTGCTAAACATTTCATTCTATGAATATACTACATAATGGTTAGCCATTCATTAATTGGTAAACATTGAGGTTGTGTATACTTTTTAGCTCCTATAAACAGTGTTTACATGAATGTCTGTGTTTTGTGCAGGTATGTATTTTCACTTCTCTGAACACGTGTCTAGGAATAGGGTTGTGTGGTCATAAGTAACCGTGTGTTGAGCACTTTGAGGAGTAGACTGTTCTCTGAAGTGGCTGCACCATTTTACATTTTCATATGGCAGTGTACAAGGTTTCTAATTCTCTGTATCCTATCAAGTATTTTTAACACTTGTTATTGTTTGTCATTTTACTTTAGCCAGTATTTAGTTCACATACAATAGTGTTCGGTAAAATTTTGTTTTTATTTTCAAACTGTACATCATGTAATGAACAGGACTGCAGTCATTTTTCCTACACAAACATAAATTGTCCATGTTTTTTCCAAAATCATGAAACAAATTGTTTGTGAACCATTGTAAAGTATTATTTCACTATAGTTTTGATGTTTAATTCACTAGTGTTAGTGATACTGAAATTTTCTTCATTTGTATATTTTCTTTGGGAAATTATTATTCAATTATTGGGAAATAATTATTTGGGAAATTATTATTCAATTGTTGGGAAATTATTGGGAAATAATAATTATTCAGATTATTTGCCTATGTGTAATTGGGTTAATTTTTGTTTTTATTGCTGAGTTGTAAGTGTATCTTTTATGTTCTAGATAAACCCTTTTCGAGATAAGTGACAACTATTTTGTACTTTTCTCTGGTTATCATTTCATTTATTGGTGATATATCATAGTTTTTTAATCTATTTTATTTCAAGAAGAAAAAAAACAAAAATTAAAATTTCAGAATACGTTAGAAGCAACAATGGTACGTACATTGCACACTGTTGTCCTCAAATCGCTTATCCAGAGCAATGATACTTGCATTTAATTGTTCAAACACTACCAGCACAAATATTTCTCTTCAGTAAACTGAAAGCAATCAGTAGTATAACTATCATAATAAATTTTTTATATTATGCATTGTATTTTTTATATATACACACACATATATATGTGTTTCATTCAGCTTCTTACACTAGTGAGAATACAGTGTTTACACATGCGTGTCTTACTTATTTCACTTACGAGTATGGTCTCAAGTTGCATCCATTTACCTTTGTAATTCTTTATGGCTGAGTAGTACTCCACTGTATAAAAATACCACAACTTTTTTACCCATTCCTCAGTGGGTGGGCATTTGGGTTGTCTCCAAGATCTAGGGTATTACAAATTGTCCTGCTATAAGCATGGGTGCACATACATTGCTCTGGTATGATGTTTTTAATTCTTTTGAAAAGATACCCAGAACAGGAATAGCTATGTTGAATGACACCTGTATTCCTAGTTTTTAAGGAATCTCCACACTGATTTCTACAGTGTTTGCACCAGTCAGCATTCCCAACAACGGTGAAGAAGGATTCCTTTTTCCCCACACTCTCTTCAAAATTTGTTATTGTTTGACTTCTTGATACTAGCTGTTCTTTCTGGTTAAGTTGGAATCTTAGTGTTGTTTTAATTTGCATTTCTAAAATGACCAGTGATGTTGAACATTTTTATTTGCTGTTCGTATTTCTTCATTTCAGAAGTGTGTCTTCATCTTAAGATGCCCATTTTTGGATTGGGTCTTTAAATGTGAGAGGACTAATTTGAGTTCTTTGTATGTTCTCCGTAGTAACCCCTTGTCTGGGGAACAGCTGGCAAACACATTGTTTCCCACATTCTGGGTTTCCTTCACTCTTTTGATGTTTTCTTTTTGCTGTGCAACAGCTTTTTAATAGGATGGGATCCCAATTGTTACTGTTAATTCTTTGTGATAGTTCTTCACTCTTTTGGTGTTTTCTTTTGCTGTGCAACAGCTTTTTAATAGGATGGGATCCCAATTGTTATTGTTAATTCTTTTTGATAATTGAGGTTTTGTTCATAAAGTCTTTGCCTACACCAATACCTTCAAGAGTTTAACCTACTCGGTCTTTCAGCAAATTTAATGTTTCTGTTTTAATATTACGACCTTAGATCATAATATTAAATTATGATATTTATAAATTATATAATTATGATAATTATCAATTATTAGAATATTAGCTTAGTGCATGGTGAAACATATGGGTCCAGTTTTAATCTTTCAGCATGTGTACAGCCAGCTTTTCCAGCACCGATTATTAAAGAGACCTTTTCTTTCTCTGATTGTGTTTGACACCTTTTTCAAAGATACAGTGGCTTAGTGTGTCTGGAGTTGTTTCTGCATCTTCTAATCTGTTCTTCTGATTTTTAGGTCTGTTTTTTGCCAGT